TTCTTCTATTTGGGAAGATAAAAAATTTGTATAACTAGAAAACACAATACTAATCATTGGGTGGGAGATTGGTCCTTATTAATAGTGTGTTGGGATGCCTTACCCACCAATATGATGTCTTTGTGTCCTCTTCCCTACAAGTCTCAATGGAACTGGATAAGCAACATAGAGATTTTTAAGGCACAACAAGTATAGAAAAGCATTCAACCGAAATGAAGCACTACCACTCTTGATAAGAATATGGGTGGTCTAGGTATGAGAGACTTGAAATCTCATAATATTACAGTATCAGTTTGAAACTAAAAGCCAATTGGACTGGAATAAGTCAAACGTAGAATGAGCATGGTTGTATAGTAAAAGGTTTGTTTGCAAAGAAATAAAAGGTCATTAGATGGACAAAATTCAGATCATAGAAAGTGAGGAACTCTTAATGAAAACTCACCTTGGATTGACCTGAATCTACTAGATCAATATCTCCTTCATCCACTACTTGATTGCATCCATTTACTAAGTTGTTCACCAGAGTTTTATCAGCATTTTTCTTCTTTGCAGCAGCAACCTTTTTTGCAGCCTCTTTCAGAGCATTCACCGCGACATTATAATGATGAATAGATTTTGCCCCTTCTTCTACAAATTTAATTGCCTCCTGTCGCAAACTATTTTGACGCATAGTTAAAGACTCTTGAGAATTGCTAGGTAACTCTAAACGATATTCCTCTACAGTGCTTCCACTGCCAGTCTTGGCATTTATTGTCCAACGTTTCAAAATGTATTGGGAAGGAAGCGTAAGAACATTTTTGGCTCTGAACACTGATAACACATGTCTACAAATTATACCTGAAAATTCAAACAATAGACAGCTACAGTTAGCTGTCAACTCAAATGTGTTGAACCTAACCGTGTGTGCCTTGTGCTCTTCCCCAAATTTTGCAACATGATATGTTGTGATTGTTCCGGATTCATCAATTTTAGTTGCAGGATTCGCAAGGGTCTCAACCAGTTCCTCTTGAAATTTTATGAAAACCTTCCTAGTATAGAGATTAGCTGCTTGTTTTTCCATAGGCGATGGCGTCTTTAGAACTGGTGTAGTAATAGTAGAGTCAAGATCTGCCTTTAATTCCTTTTCGTGCCAGATTGTAAGAGCTTTTTCATATTGTTTAATCAACAACTGGATAGAGGTAGAAGCATCCACATACCCATTGAAGAAAGTGTTTTTGGCATCATTGTCTTGATCACTTAAAATATCCCCAAAAAACGTCTCTCGCATGAAAACAGGAACCCAGTGACGGCAAGCACTATAAATTGATTGAAGGTATTCATTATCCGTGAGGTAATATCTTTCTAGGAATGACTTCCACTGAGATTCAAATTCCTCGATTGTCTCACTTCCATTAACGCACTTCATAAATTCAGTTTCAAAGGTTGGATGTATTTGACATACATGAGTCAGCTTCTCCTTGGTTTCTCGAATTATGCTCCATTTACAAAGACGATGGCGTGTTTCTGGCAGAACATGAGCAACAGCCATCTGTATGAGATGATCAGTGTCAGTTGTGATGGAAACAGGCGTCTGTCCAGACATCGCTTGAAGCCAAGTTTGGAGGAGCCAGACAAGTGAGTCTTCAGACTCATTAAAAAGCAAAGCACATCCAAAAAGAACAGGCTGTGCATGATGATTTAAGCCAGTGAAAGTAGCAAAAGGTACCCTATATCCGTTAGCTCGACAGGAAGTATCCAATTTGATACTATCCCCAAAGTAATGATAGTTCATTCTGGCAGTTGCATCGGCCCAAAAAATGTTTCCATTAGAAGATCCATTATCACCCTGAACAGCATAGAAAAATGCTGGACTTTCAGCTTGCATTCGCCTCAGATAGTCCAACACATGCTGAACCCCTCCACCAAGGATTCTTTGTCCGCTATTCATTAGTCATTCCCCAAATTTCCAACGCAGAACACCAAATTTATGTTTTTTTTACTTCTTGACAGATGAACAACTTAATCACAATCTGAATTGCAAGAGGTAACATTTCAATGCCAAATATTCTGAATATTTCGATACTTGACTAAAATTCAAAACAAACAAAAAATAAATCATTATTTTTAATAAAAATTGCTTAATCACTTGATATACAATTGGAACAAGAGTGTTAAAAACTTTCAACCACGAATACTATTACAACATAAGAATATCAAGTTTTCTGTCCTAGCCTTGGCGGACAAAGTTATCTGATACCTATTCCTGGTGGGAGCGGGCATGTATCCCGTGGAATTAGGCGAGGTGAGCGAAAGCTGACCCAGACATCACCGACATAAAAAAAATCACTCATTTTGCTACAGATATTACTTATTAAGTTTCCTGATATGCTAAAGTTAACTGAAAGAAAAGTATTGAGGAAATTTCAAACACCAAATCAAAAGGAAACATTGTAAGAACAATTAAAAAAGGGATTTTTCCAAACAAAGCTCCAATTTACAAATACAAAAACACATCTTTTTCATTTGGGGAAAGTATTAGGGTTTACCGGTAAAAGATTGTCCACAAAATTCCAGTCGTCTCAACTGTTGCTGTCTTCCCTATGCCATCAACGCTTCTTCTTACATCAGTTATATCACTACATGAGCCTTGCTAGAGCTGGCTCCATTTATATCCCACTCATACTCTTCTTTTCGATTTATGCAACTCTTTTCCTTACTCGTGAAATTTCAAATTTTTTAAAAATAAAATTTATATATTTATAAATTACGTAAAAAAATAGTATACTTCACAATAATTGACAATTTAAAATATGTAAGAGATATATGAAAAACTTACTGTTAAAATAGATTTGTTTGAATTTCAAAATTCATTGAGACAAAGGGAGTACAACTATCAGAATCATTTAAACTTTTTAATTATTTTATTTATAATTTTTTTTTATGTCATTTCAAATAATATATGTTATTTTCTTATATTTCAATTTATGTGGCACTCATATAATTTTGATAGTCAACCAAAATTTTATATATCTTTTAACATCTTATTTATAGTACTTTTTACGTAATATTTAAATATGTAACAAAATAAAAAAAATAAAAAAAATGTCCTCGATTAAAAGCAGACATGTTAACGAATTAATGCTTACTTCTAGCCACAAATAGTAAAGTACTTAGGGGTCGTTTGGTAGAGTGTATAAAAATAATGCAAATAAAATGTATTAATAGTGCTTGCATTAGTAATGTTTATATTAGTTATGCTTGCATTAGTTATACATAGAATATTTTTTATACATTGTTTGGTTTGGTATATTAAAAAATATGCATTGTATAAAAATATTTATTTACAAAAGTATTCTTCATAATTATGGTTAAAAAGATGTAAAAATACTTTTGAGGGGTAATTGGTCTTTAACCATACTAAGGGAATCTCCAACCCAAACACCAAATTTGGCAGCATTATTTTTGGTGTAATCAACTCTAACCCACTGTACCAAATTTTACACCAAAAAAGAATATTTCTCTCTCTTCATTATTATATTATTATTTCTTATTTCTTATTTCATAAAACAAATTCTTTCTAAAACATTCACCATATATAATTCATATTATTTCCTTTTATAATCGTTTAATATAAAATTATTTTGTACCATAATTTTTAAATAATATAAATTTCTAGCAAATATTATACACTATACATAATAATGGATAATACAAATAAAAGTGAAATAATTAATGAAATACAATTAAATAAACATTACATAATTGAAAAAATTATTATAAATTCTACACAAATATTCAACTTTCAAGATCACTACGGTGCTCCCAAAAATTCTCTATTAATGCATTACTAGTTCAAAATGAGCTTCTTTGTTGAATGTTTATTAATTTCGATTATTTTTAAGTACATTTTATTATTTGTTTAAAAATTTATATGTTTGCATTTTTAATTTTTGTGAAGGTTAATTGTAGTTATATCCAATTATAATTTACAATAGAATTAACATAAATTTAATTTTAAAAAAAAGTAATATATAGAAAAAATAATTTATAAAAAATCTAAATTTTATATCTAAAATTAATATTATAAAATATTACATAAAAAATAATTAAATATATAAGAGATTTAATTAAACATACATTTATATAATATTTAATTAAAAAGTCTGTATAATGAAATAATATTAAAATATTACAAAAAGTGAATTAGTGTGATGAATAGTGTTACACCAAATTGGTGTAACACTATTCACACACCAAAATTTGGTGTAAAAATTGGTGTGGATTGGAGCTCAAAACACCAAATTTTACACCAAATATAATATTTGGTGTTGGATTGGAGATGGTCTAATGCATGTATTAAATTCCTTTGCATTACTAATACCTAGAAATCCATAATATTAGTAATACACTCCTCAATATACAATAGAGTGTATAATACATAGCATGAAAAAGGTACCAAACAAGGTATTACTAATACATAAAGTTAATGCAAACATTATTTTTATTAATACACTTTACCAAACGACCCCTTAATTCTTTATTTATTATTACTAAGAAGAATCAACAAATTTAATTGATTTAATACAAATTTTAAAGATAATATCTCACATACTCAATCAACTTATTAGAAAGTAATTTGATTTTATTTTAACTTAAAAAGGTTGCGAGCCTTCCTCCACTGCGGACCCTAACCCCACAATGATCATAGAGGATATTGTTTAAGCATTTACTAGGGATCTCAGTGTAATATTGATTTATTTATGTTATTTATTTTGAAATGTTTTTATGTTTTTATGTTTTTATTATTTATTATGATTTAAATTAACTTTTAATTTTATTTTTAGATTCATACTAAAGTTGTCTAAAGGTCCTTCATTCACAGCATCATAGCCTCACGATGATCATAGAGGATGTCGTTTCGATATATATCAGAGATCCAATGTGACATAAGATTTATTTTATTTATTTTAAGTATTTTTTTTGTTTTTATTATTTATTAATTCTTTAAATTTATATTAAATTAACTTGTGGAGTAATGAGTAATGATTTGTTGTGAATTTTACCTTTAGAATCTTGCTAGGGACTTCTAATCTCCTGAAAATCTTTAAATCATGACTAGAGAATCTTCAAATTTTTAACGTGGAGTCGGATTGGGAGACCAGTGCAAGGAGATCGAGTGTGATGATCCATTTCAGGTTTATGTTTGTTGCTTTGCCATTGAATTGCACCTTCATTTGCCTTCTAAGGGCCGTGTCTAAACAACTTAGCAATCATCCAAATGTAACTAAACAACTTTATTGTTATCCTTTGCAGTTCCATTCAGAGGTAAACATTTCAAATACTGATACAACCAATTCTAGGATAGTAATGATATGCACTCTAGCTTCTTTTAGTACTAACTTATTCTTTTGCCATGGGTTGCTACTATCCCCAGATACATTGTTGTCAAATTTTCATATTCATGTACTTAGAATAGAGTGTTATTCTTGTTGTACGTCTATTTAGATGTTAGCAACATGCTCAAAGTGTCTCATTGATCATTCGGGTTTCTCCAGTTTTTTTAGTATGTTTGTGAGAAAAATATTATTGAATTGTGTATCTAAATTATTACATTGATACCCTATTTATTGACACTACATTGGAATCCATTTTTTAACTAGGATTTCTATTCCTATTCCTATTTTAAGTAGGAATGTATATATTTATTTCTATTCGAACACTCCCCCTCAAGCTGGTGCAAATAAATCATATGTACCTAGCTTGTTACAGAAGTAATTAATACGAGGACATGTGAGGGATTTAATGAAGATATCTACAAGTTGATCATTTGACTTCACAAATTTTTTATTTCATAACAATATCTCCTGAGAGTATCTTTTCTCTGACAAAGTGACAGTCAATCTCAATGTGCTAAGTCCTTTCATGAAACACTGAATTTTATGCGATATGAAGAGCCACTTGATTATCGCACACAAGTTCCATATGATCAGTTTTGCCAAATTTTAGTTCTCTCAACAACTTTTGATCCAAACTAGCTCACAAGTTGATGCCGCCATTGCTCGATATTCTACTCAATCAATGGCAAATGGTCATCCCAATTATCCTTAAAATCAATCACACAAGCTGCTCTCAACATATCTTCCAAAGTTTGGATAGTACGCTCCGCTTACCCATCGATTTGTGGATGAAAAGTTGTGCTAAGCTTAACACGAGTACCAAGACCCTTTTGGAAAGATTTCCAAAACTGAGAAGTAAATTGAGTACCTCGATCGAAGATAATGAACAAGGGTACTCCATGCAACCTTACCATTTCCCTCAAATACAACTCAACATAATCTTCCGTTGTATAAGAAACTTTGACGGGGATAAAATGAGCCGATTTTGTCATTCGGTCTACTATAACCCAAATTGACTCGTATTGTCGCCATGTACGAGGCAACCCTACTATAAAGTCCATATTCAAATCTTCCCACTTCCAAATAGGAATACTAACATCTTGGGAAAAACCTCCCAGTTTCTGATGTTCAACTTTCACTTGTTGACAATTAGGGCACTTAGCCACAAATTCTGCAATGTCCTTATTTATCCCATTCCACCAAAAGACCTCCCGCAAATCACGGGACATCTAGGTGGCTCCCGGGTGAATGGAATATCGTGAACTATGGGCTTCTGTTAAAATTTGTCCTCTCAAGTCATCAATATTGGGAACACACAAACGACCTTGATAACAAAACACACCATCTCCCCCTTGGCAGAAAGCCTCAACGGACTTTCTAAGCACCATTTCTTTAAATTCTACTAAGGCCGGATCAAGACATTGCTTGGGTTTCACATCCATCACAAACTTTATGAGGACCGCTGTAATGAGTTGGGGAACCTTCACCTGTACTCACACCATTTTTAACCCATCTGCATTTCTAAGCCCTTTTTAGCAATCGCCCAAATTCTCCAATTTTTCGTATTTATTAGTCCATGGATTTGACGCCTGGAGCACCCAAATTTTTTTTCTCAAAAAACTCTATGAGGACCTCCGTAATGAGTTGGAGAACCCTCACGTATACTCACACCATTTTTAACGCCCATTTCCACTTTTACAAGATATTTTTTAAGAATCGCCCAAATTCTCTAATTTTTCGTGTGTATTAGCCCATGGATCTAGCACCCGGAGCACCCAAATAATTTTCTTCAAAGAAATTTATGAGGACCTCCATAATGAGTTGGGGAACCTTCACGCATACTCACACCATTTTTAACGTCATTTTCGCATTTACAAGCCCTTTTTAGTAATCACCCAAATTCCCTGATTTTTCGTGTGTCTTAGCTCATGAATCTGGCACATGGAGCACCCATAATTGTTTTCTCAAAAAATTTATGAGGACCTCCGTAATAAGTTTGGGAACCTGTATGTTTACTAACACAATTTTTAACGCCCATTTTCACATTTACATGCCCTTTTTTAAGAATGGCCCGATTTCTCTGATTTGTCGTGTATATTAACCCATGGACTGGGGCTTGGAGCACCTAAAATATTTTTCTTAAAAACTTTATGAGGACTTCCGTAATGATTTGGGGAACCTTCATGTATACTCACACCATTTTTTTAACGCCCATTTCTTCATTTACAAGCCTTTCTTTAAGAATCTAAAAAATTCTCCGATTTTTCGTGTGTATTAGCGCATGTATTTGGCGCCCGGAGCACCCAAAAT